CAGATGAGGGAGAGAATTGTTTAAGAGGGATATATGATTAGGTATTATTGTCATGACAGGAGTCCAGAATGGAGGCTGCATAGTGGAGTACACTTAGGGCAAGGGATTGTATAACAATGAAAGAATTTTTCTTTTACTTTTCAAAGAGAAGAGTGAATTGGGGGAGAGGGGTGGGTAGGGAAAAAAGGGCAACAAAGAATGAATGGAAATCCAAAGTCTCTGTAAACTTTCATGAAAATTAATTAAAAAAATATATAAAAGGAATCAGAATGAAGTAGAAGGAAAATACATTAATATAGAGAAAGGGGGAAAATAGATATTTAAGATAGATTCAGAAAAGTATAATGGTATTATTTATTTCCTATTGGAGAGTAAATTCCACAGTTGCTGTATGTTATTATTGTTGTTATGCACTGTTGAATCACCTGTGACTCACAGTGACCCTGTCTCTGAAGCTTGCCCCCTCCTGAGCCAGTCTCACTGACTCTGACACAACATAGTCACTGTATCAATCCATCTCATCCAGAGTCTTCTTCTCCTGCGCTGTCCCTCCACCCTTCCGAGCATGATGTCCTTCTCCAAGGATCAGTCCCTCCTGGCCACATGCCCAAAGTAGGTAAGACAGAGCTTCAAAATCCTAGCCTCCAAGGAGAAACTTGGTTTCACCCTCTCTAAGACAGACCTGTTTGTTTTCTTGGTGGTCCATGGAATGTTCAAGACTCTTCTACAGCACCACAATTCAAAGGCATCAATTCTTCTTCTATCATCTTTAGTCATTATCCAGCTTTTTGATGCATAGCAAGTAATTACAAAGATCATGGCCTGGATTAGGAGCACCTTAGTCTCTAGACTGATATTATTGCTTCTCAGTACTCTGGAAAGGTATCTGACAGCAAATTTTTACCTAACGCAATGTGTCTTTTGATTTCCTGACTGCTGGTGCCAAAAGTGTTGATTGTGGAGCTGAGCGAGCTATAACTGTCAACAACCTCAATCTCTTCTCCAGCCATCATGGTGCTGACAATTGGGCCAATGATGAGAATATCTGTCTTCTTGATATTGAGCTTCAACTCATATTGAAGACTACAGTCCTTGACCTTCTGCAGTAAGCACTTCAGGTCCTCCTCAGTTTCAGAAAGCAAGGTTGTAGTACATACTGTGTAGGTAGTACGGACTACACATAGTACATATGTGGTACATACAGCTATGCTGTGTGGATTAATTTAAATAATAAGGACTGTACTTACTTCCTATTAAGCTTATCAGAAACATTCCATTTAGTTAGTGGAGGGAGAATACTTTTTTCTTTATAATTTTTTTTCAGTTTATCAAGAGTGAGCCTTTATTAAGCTATTTTGCAAAAGTGATTGTCCATTCCCAGACAAAGATGCAGGTCTTTCATAGCCCATCAAGAGTTTCTATCCCCTTAGCCGTTGAGTCCCTCATCTGATTTCTCATTGATTGAGCAGTACAGTGAGTACAATCTTTCTTGGATGGTGATGGAGTCTAAGCTCTTCTTTTATGACTCCCATTTCCCTCCTTTCCTGTTGCCTGGTTTGCCTGTGCATTCTGGGGACTCTGTGGTTTGTCATGTTAGTTAACGGTTTATGGTTCTTTTGGATCAATTTGTGACTCATTACCTCAGTCTTTGTTCTCTTTACATTGAAGATGGATCAATCTGAATTTAATTTCTTACATTTGGAAAAGTAGAGGGCCATTGGAAGAGAGAAAGACTCTCAACAGTAGAGTTTGACACAGTGATTGCAAGGATGGGCTTGGGTATCTCAGAGATTGTAAGTATGGAACAGGATAGGACAAAGTTTCTAGAAAGTTGGAACCACCTAGTTTTCT